AATTCAGCTCAGAGGTTCCATCCCAGGCAGCACCAGGATCAGTTTCCACACAAAATACACTTGGAAATCCAGGGAATAATTCCTTGTATCAACCCTGTCTTGGTTTCACAGTCCAACAACAGCGATTTGAGGGGTGGGAAACAACAGGAGAACCCCAAACACGAATTTATTTCACAGTAAATCGCTTATTTATAGAGAATAATCACGACTTCCAGCATTAAAGTGCATGCCAGGAACAACCAGGACCGGAAAAATATTGAAGGGATACAAACCAAGGGAGAGGAAAAGCTGGAAAACCACCCCCTCTCTGGGATTTCCTGGGTTTCTCTTTCCAGTTTAGGTGGGAAAAAAATGGAAAAATCGAAGCTTGAAGTTACAAATATTGCACTGAAAGTGTTGGATTTCAAGCAACACCGGAATAATTGAATTTAACAGAATAAAAACGCTTCAAAAAGGGACATATTGCACCAAATATTTTGAATTAAATAAGTGGTAAAGGGGGGAAAGCAACTGGGAATCGATGAAATGGGAGTTTTCCATGGATTACCTGGAATCTTTCCCATATATATCAACAATTAAGGAGAGGGAAAGGTCTCTCCTGTCCTATATTCCCAAATGGAAATTCCAAAGGACACCACTTTCCATTAGTCCCTTTTTTTACTGGAGAAAAAGAAGTTGAAATAAGAAGAACTCCTGAAATGTTTTGTCAGCACTTAGTGCTAATAAATAAATAAAGAAGCCAAAAAATGACGTACCAGGACCATCAAATCTTCCCCCAAAGTCTTCAAGATTCTCATAAATTCATTTCTGGGTGAATTAAAAGCAGAATTAAAAGCATTTGCTGAGGGAACACGAGGTTTTTATCCCCATCATTTGCTCACCTGAGCATTAAGTCACCCCCCCAAAAAAAAGCCTCAGTTGGGTATTTGGGCTTTAATTCAGATATTAAGTATTTTAAAGGACCTTGGGAGGGAATTAATTGGTTGTAATAATCGAAATTATCATCCAAAGCAGCTCCTTTCACTAAAAAATATCTGGAAAAAAACTCTTCAGAAGCAGCAACATAAAAAAGCAACATCCAAGTTGGGTCGGGGTCAGTCACATCCCTTCCTATTTACACGGGTTCTGTAGGGAAGGAGCCACTCCCAGGGTTAAAAGTTTTCCCCTTTTTCATCCTAAAACACCTNGGGGGTGGCACTGGATGATCTTTAAGGTCCCTCCCAACCCAAACCATTCCATGATTCTGTGACCTTGGGCTCCACCCCCTGTTTTGAGGCTCGGTGTGGTTGCCACCCTCTGGCATCTCCCCGTTTGCCTTTGCTGCCCCTGTGGATGTTGGATTTGCAGAGTCCCACCCCGGGCTGAGACATCTGCTCTGACTTGGGTGGAAATTCCACACGGGAATCCCAAAATCCCCGTGCCCTGCTGGTTTTGAGGGGTTCACTGCTGGCCCAAAGGCAATTCCCTGTCCCAGCTGGACGGATAAAACCCAAAATGAAGCTCCAGACTCCTCAGGGATCTGCCACAGGAACTGTCCCTGCCCTCTGGAACAACCCACCCTTCACCAGGGATTACAAAAGGAACCCGGAGAGTCCTGAATTCAGGATTTCCTCCTTCCCTAATCCCCCACACACCCTCTCCAAAGCCTTTCCACCCCCTCTGAGGTGGGAAAAAACCACTGCTCAGGGTGAGTCAAGCCCGGAAAATGCAACCCAGGAGGGAAGGAAACAAGAGTGTTGTAACCCAGAGAGTCCAAACCCCGCAGTGCCACCCCGTGCCAACCATTCCCTGGATCCTGCTTTTCCACACACAAAACTCAATTTATGATTTGCCAGCTCCAAGCCACGCAAATAATTCACGGGGTGAGAAAAAGCTCATTTCCAGTTGGTTTTGGCTCCTCTCTCTCGCACAGTTTTGGGCTCGTTTTGGGCTTTATGACACGATGCCCACGGGTTGTTATCCCAGAGAGCCATTAGGGAAAGGATTCCAAGTGGAGGGGGAGCAGTGGGATGAAGGAGGAAAAAGGTGCTAAAGCTTCTGAAAGGCAGCTTTTTGCACCTTGTCATAAAAACAAACAGCAGAGAGAACCTGAGCTAATAATAATAATAATAATAATAATAAACCCCCCTGGGGGGAAAAGGGGATTTTTTTTCCCCTTTTTCCTTGGCTTTGGCCACCTTTGGGGTTTTTTTTCCATCTGTTTTTAAAGAGCTGGAAATCGTAGGGGGGGAAAAAAAAATGCTGTTTGAATTTACAGAGAAAGACCTGGGGGCAAATTATTAAGTAAAGGGGAAAAAGGAGGAAAAAAAAAAAAGAAAGAAAAAAAAAGAAAGAAAAAAAAAAAAGAAAGAAAGAAAAAAAAAAAGAAAAAAAGAAGGAGGTGGAAGTTGTGTTTGGATTTTGGGCAGATCAGAGGGATGGGGAGGTAGGACTGCAAACATGGATTTGGGATTTAGGTGTTCTCTTGTGCAAGGTGCTCTGTGGGCATCACTCAGCTGCTCCTGGAGATTGTGGAATCATGGAATGGTTTGGGTTGGAAGGGACCTTTAGGACCATCCAGTTCCACCCCCTGCCATGGACAGGGACACCTTCCACTGGCCCAGGTTGTTCCAGTCTGGCCTTGGACACTTCCAGGGATCCAGGGGCAGCCACAGCTTCTCTAGGAAATCCAGTCCAGCCCCTTCCCATCCTCCCATGTTTCTGTCCCAAGAGGCCAAGACATATCAAAGGAATTCTTAATTCCTTCTCCAAGAGATGGAGCATCTCCAGTGCCACAATTCCCAGGATTGAGCCCCCCCTGTGCTGCCATTCCCCCACTTCATCATCCAATAAATATTCACACGGATAATATTCCCCCAGATATTGTTTTCCCTCTTTTTAAACTAAAAAGAAGCCCGTCCTAATTCCCAATCCTACAGGAAATGCTCCATTAAATCCCAATCCTACAGGAAATGCTCCATTAAATCCCAATCCTACAGGAAATGCTCCATTAAATCCCAATCCCTCAGGAAATGCTCCATGAAATCTTGTTCCAAATGAGGATTTTTCCTGTGATTTCTCAGCCAAGTGAACACAAGAGACAAAACCAATATTCCAAGATATTTAATGGGCAGGAATTACAGGTGGAACAGGGAATTCAGCCAATGTACAGCTCTGGGATAAATGGAATATTCCAGGGGTTTGGACAGGTTGGAATGACACAACCCACAGGAGACTCAGGGAGATGGAACAGCTGGGGCTGAAACCACAACAATTCAAAATATGGCACAAAAAAAAGGCAAAATTCAAGGCCAAAATAAGGAATATTTCATTCTGGGAATGCTGATTTGGAAAAATTCAGCTCAGAGGTTCCATCCCAGGCAGCACCAGGGGCAGCTCCCACACTAAATATTCCCCCAGATGGGATTTTTCCCTCTTTTCCAATTAAAAATAAGCCCATCCTAAATCCCAGTCCTACAGGAAGTGCTCCATTAAATCCCAATCCCTCAGGAAATGTTCCATTAAATCCCAATCCTACAGGAAATGCTCCATGAAAGCTCAATATTACAGGAAATGCTCCAGGAAATCCAGTTCCAAAAGAGGATTTTCCTGCCATTTCTCAGCCAAGTGAACACAAGAGACAAAATCAGTATTCCAAGATATTTAAGGGGCAGGAATTACAGCCTATTAATGGAATAATTTAAATTAATTATTCATTAATTTTTAATTAAAATTAATTTAAAAAAAACCCACAATAATTCAAAATATGGCACAAAAAAAAGGCAAAATTCAAGGCTAAAATAAGGAATATTTCATTCT